GAATAATATATATATATATATATATATATATATATATATATATATATATATTCATATATATATGTATATATGTATATGTATGTGTGTGTTGTTGCAGTAGTACCATATATTTATGACTTGGCTCGTCTTGTATAACTAAGCTGCCCAAGAACAGACTTATAGGAAGTCTTTCTGCAGTCAATGTGGGTCGAGAAATTTCTTCCAATTTATTATTCAATATTGTGTACAATTATATTCATAAAAAGTGTTTTATTATTCATATTTTGTCCGTTGGTTGATCACAATTCATCATTCTGTTCAATAGTACTCTGAAATTCAGCTTCTTCTACTCCCCGCACCGTCGCCTTGAACTCAACGAGCAAGAGTTGTACAGGCGGCTCCTCAGCAAGACGTTGATGCTTTTGAGAGAAAAAAGAAGTCCACATCTTAATTTAACAAAATAGCTAAGAAGATCAGGGCAGTTGCTCGTGCTATAATCTACAACCGCTCTGCAGGAAGCAGCAGCAGGGTTTGTTGCAACTCGCTAGAGGTCACCCCCTCTCAATACCAGTCTCAGTCCATTGTACCTTCGTGCCTGGGGTATATAAAGAATGGAGAGGAGATTATCAGCAGTTTTTTTTAAAACTTTCATCTCAAGTGCCCACTCTGCTGCAGCCCATGACGGTCCTAGGTATGCATATCCACGCACCACTGCCCCACATAGATTAACACTGCAGGTAAATGCTACCCCATTCATTGGCCGTCAGCAACCTACCCGCACTCCAGAAGAAATCCAAAAACCAGTTTCAGGCGGATCGGGCTTCAGATCCTGTTTCAATTGCCAAACCATAAAACCCGAAACCCTAAACCCNGTTTCAGGCGGATCGGGCTTCAGATCCTGTTTCAATTGCCAAACCATAAAACCCGAAACCCTAAACCCTGTGAACCGTAAGACCTAGAACTCATGTTCAACTTTTTTTCGAGACTAGCTTAGTTATATCCACAGTGTTTCTTTGCATTTAAACCACCTAATAAATTAATTAATTATTATTTTGGTTTAGGGAGGAGAAACTATGCTTCATTGCCTGTGCAAACACCAGCATCGACCCTTCGCTCAGACCGCCACAGCACCCCCCGCAATGAGCAGGAGGCAGTGGGGGGGCTTTCCGCTGTATCCCCCCATAAAAAGCGTTTCTGGAGATGGATCCAGATTTAATTGGAACTAAAATAATTTGTTTAATTGGCTAATAACCGTTGGGTGGTATGAGAAGGCAGACGTAACCCGAAACCAAGGCGAAAGCAACAACCCACAGAGATCGCTCCTCTTACCACCTCGACCTGCCGCATCTCTGGCGTTGCTTGTTTTTTGCATTTGTTTAAATTAAATGGTTTATTTCAGAGGATAAGTCNAAAATAGCTTCATCCTTTTAGGCAAAGCGGTGACTATCGCCTCAGGGGTTTCAGCAGCAGCCCCATCGGCGGCAACTGGCGGTGGAGGCAGAAATAGGTGTCGGTGATCACCATCGAGGGATGCTGGTGTTGTTCGTCTGTATTTCTTTCGTTCTTCCTGCACAATTTTTCCGTTTTCATGAATAAAAAGGATAAATTCCGTAAGTAATCATCAAATGGTTCATTAGTTCCCTCGCTTTTAGTCTGGTTACCATATAGGCGGCGCTCTCGGGCGCTTCGGCGCCGCTCCCCGAAAGACTATTTTATCCTGCAGGTTATACTTCTTTTTTTTAGTTTGGGTAGTAAAATTCGTGTTTGAAATGCCCATACAAGGATATTTTATACCGTCGCCGCGGCAGCGGCGGGGAGCGGGAGCTAGGGCTCCAGCTCCGGTGGTGCAACGGCTGCAGCGACGGTTGCCGCTGCTGCTGCTGTTGCTGCTCTTTTGCTGCTGCAACCCCGCATTAGCAAGGCGGCCTTCTCCTGCAGACGCTGCAGTTGAAGCAGCCACAACAACTGCCCCCGCAGCAGAAGCAGAGCAGCAGGTTGCTGATCCTACCCTGGAGCCTGTTGTGATGAAGGATGCACGCGAGAACCAGAAGCAGCTCAACTGGCGAAAGGTAGGCTCAGCAGCAGCTCTGATGGTGTTGTTGGCTGCTGCTACAGCAGCCGTTTTCGCTACATCTGGGGAGAAGCCGGCTGTCCCTGCAACTCCTGTAGAGACGGAGGAAGAAGAGAAAAAGAGAAAGGAGGAGGAAGAGAGAGAAAAAAGAGAAAGGGAAAGAAAAGAATTAGAAGGAGCCAAAGATGAACGCCCCTTCCCTAATCTACAGCCAAAGAAAGAAGTAACATTTGACTTCGGTGAGACGCCAGCACCACCACCACCAGCAGCTGCAGCAGCAGCGGCAGCAGCAGCAGCAGCAGGTCCAGAGGGAGAAGAAGAAGAAGAAGTATATGAAGAAGCATATGGAGGAGAAGACGTGCAAGAAACAGGAGTAACAGGAGGACCCACCGGTGCAGGAGCAGCAGGGGCCCCGAGAAGAGAAGAAGAAGAAGAAGAAGAAGAAAGAGAAATTGATGAAGAGTATATTAATGAACAA